CCATCAGAAAAAGGAAGGATGTTACTATTCCTAAGTCTGGAGATATTAAACAATAGACAGGTAAATGTCTCAAGAACCAAAAAAAAGCCACAGTTACCAAAACTTGTAATGACAGATGAAATAACATTAAACTATTAGAAAATTCAGGGTCGGTATCATAGCACCTGGTATTGAACTATGTCGACATGTTGGTGCTTGGCAGAAAACCCCATATAGTCTCCAGAGATTTTTTTTTTTTCTTAAATAATGTAATAAGCACTGTTAACGTCTCCAGCAATGTCTCAGATGACAACTACAGTAGTTTTAAAGGAGATTGATATACCTTTTTATCTGTTGTTTAGTACAATAAATGGCCATTAAGAAGCGGACATGGCTGTTGATTATTGATTCCCATCAAACAAGTTATGAATTTTGTATTCATTTAATGTGATCTCAGCTATCTGCAGAAGCTGTTTTTTGGATGTAAAGTCATTGGAAACTCCACGTAGGTTCCTATTCATTACTGGAATATTTCTACATGTTGGAATTTTTTTCATATGTGCTTCCACTGATAAAATTACTTGTTAATACACCTCTACAAGGCCTATGTTATCGGAGTCTACCGTACAGAAAAGTAGTAATTTTTGCCCATTTGTAACATCTTTTTCAATTCAACATAAAACTATAAGTAAAACTATAAATAAAAATTGGGATATCTTAAAAGCTGATCCTATTCTATCTAGGGTTGTACCTGAGAGACCCGAAATTGTATTTCGAAAGGCACCTACTCTCAAGAATAGGTTAGCTCCAAATATTATAGATCCTCCATCTAATTCCACTTTTTATGCAAACATGGTAGGTTTCTACCCATGTAATAAATGTATTATTTGCCAACAAAATAAAACTAATAAGACGAAAGTTAAACCCTTCACATCTTCCTCTACGGGCAAAACATATGATATATCTACATTTATAACCTGCAACAGTCGCTATGCTGTTTACCTGCTAGAGTGCCCATGTCATAAACAATATATAGGCTGCACCGCAAGAAGGCTCAGATAGGTTCCGCGAACATGTGTACAATATCAAAAGAGGTTTCAAGGAACACTCACTCTCAAAGCATTACAGGTATTTTCATAATAGAGATCCTTCCACTTTGAAATTTACAGGTATAGATATGGTTCAAAGCCACTGGCAAGGTTCCAACAAATGCAGGCTTTTCTCTCAATTAGAGACAAAGTAGATTTATGAGATGAGAAACTTGGCCCCTACCGGCCACAATGTTGATAAATATATCAACCGTTTTATAGATAATAGTTGAATTTTAATCATTGTGTTTTAGCCGGTACATTCTATCTCTATTTTTATTTATTTTTCTTATTGCTTTTTATTATTTTTATGAAGGGGCCTATACAGATATACTATCACATACCTCGTGATGGAGGCCAATGGAGAGAGGGCTTTCCTTGCGGCTAAGTTCCAGACTCCCCTGAGAGTGGGACAGCGGGAGTTAGGCCCAAAGTTGCACAGGTCGCCTGTAGGAGTGCTGGTTGGTGGTCCACTCAGAAGCACAGCTGGTGCACGGAGATAGGTCTGCAGACAGGAGGCGCCTGTGCGTGGTTGCAAGCCCTTCCAGGATTTGTATGTTTACTGGGTAGTCGGTTCAAGCCAACATCAGGTACCAGGTGGGAATCAGAGCGGACGTAGTCAGATGGGAAAGCAGAGGTCATTCAAAGAGGAGCGAGAGAGAGAATCCGTAAGCCAAGCCGAGGTCAGATCAGGGGTAAATCAGAGTAGACAGGTCCAGGAGCAAGCCGAGTCGGTAACAGGAAATCACAAGTCAGAAACACAGGAACCAGGAACAGGGCACAGGGAGCTAGAGATCATCCAGCAACCAGAGGAAGTGATGAGCCTCCTTATAAAGGCCTTCTGGCACCAGACTGAGGCTGATGTGTACTTCTGCGGCCATGTAGAGTATTGGCAAAAACGCCATATCTTCCAGAACTCCTGCTGTGGACAGGACCCTGACATATACATATATTTATCTACCATTATTATCATATCTTTTATCGTTAATTTTTAGTTACCACTTTTCATGGTATCTTAGTCTATTTCTATGTTATCTGAGTCTATTCTTACAGTATTCTATTCTATTTTTATGTTGTTGCCAGTTTTTTTTAAGCTAAACTTATGTCACTTTATATGTTACTTCTAGTTTGCGTATGATCTCCCTACCCCATGGGAGTATATTATTTGATTTTATATACCATTTTTTATATACCAATCATTTCCTATTTTACTAACATAATCGTTTCTAGGATGGAGTGTTGTTTGTTTTACACTTACACCTCTTATGATATATATATTTTTAGCACCAATAATTTTCTTTTTTTTATTAGTGTTGTCATTTTTTTTTTATATTTTATATTCTATATATTTTTTATGTGTTTTTGATAATATTATACTTTTATCCACATCCATAGTAGGGGATTTGCACATTTTACTCAGTTACTATGATCATATTCTGTATTCAAATTGTATTTATATGTTTTTCATTTTTGATATTTTTATAAACATATTAATGTACTATTATCGTGTATATCTAGAATATCACGATGCAGAACAGACAGACATATTTTATTTACATATATCTGGTTCAATTTTGGGCTTTTTATTAGCCTTTTATTATTTGCAGGCAATCCAGTATTACATTAATATTTGGCCATGATCCTTTTTTAGCCTTTTACTTAACTGCTATTTATTTTGGCCTTCATCCCATACGATCGGGGATGATATACCATTTACCTTCTATGAGAATGAGCTGTTTGTCCTGTATAATAGTATCTAACCTCTGGGAAAATGGCGCCCACGTTCACGCGCATGCACACTTTCCAGAGGTTTACGGCAAGATGGCGCCTAAGTAATTGAGCGCGCAATCTTGCGGCCATAAAAGGAAGACAACTGACGTCCGGCGGCAATGGCACACCCGTTTTGACAACGTACGTTGGTACGAAACGCGTTGAGGAGCCGCACGCCGTGACGTCACGCCGCCGGATCACGGAGGTCTGGCGGCCATCTTGACTTTCTAGCTGGTCAGTGTATTAGGCAGCTTTATGCTGCATTTGCTCCTACCCCATGGATGTTCCAATATTTTAATACTCATATCTTTGCATTACCAACTACTACACTATGGGCACCCTTCTTTGTTGCTCTGTATCGAGCCTTTAATTCTCCAGGAACCCAGGTGACTACCCCAGTGTCCAAAGGAGAGATATCCATACCAGGCTGTATTCCATCCTATCTAAAGGGGACCTCTGGCTGACTTCTAACTACCCCAGACTCCAGAGGAGGGATATCCAGACCGGGCTGTATTTCATCCCACCCTAAGGGGGACCTCGGGCAGACCACAACATATTTATACACTGCGCATACCCCGCACGTCACTGGAATATCTGTTTATATGCTACTAGGATAACACGATTTATTAGTTCACATCTGAATTACCTGCACTTATTGGAACTATTTCTATTTATTTATATCTGGACATTAGTAATTAATATTTATTTATTGATTTGAATATTAATTATTCCATATGGTGGTTATTAACTAAGCACTTTATCTGGACATCAAGCACTTTGTCTTTGCTATTATAGAACTTTATTTGGATAATATCCAGTTATTCATCCAGTCTTATTATAAGTGCTGCACTTTCTACAATTGTATAATGCCTGACCTTTGCAAGCAATGCATGAGTAAGATAAAGATGGTCAGTATTAGTATATTGAGCCATCTGTATGCAGCTCTACTCACAGGCGCTGCTAATGGCATCACAGATCTGCAAGGCACTGTATGTGGGATTTTAACATTTAGAATTTGCATTTGTTCTTTTAACTGCATTCACTAGAAGAGAATTTAAAATGGATCATGCAAGGTAAATTTTAATTACTGCTCTGGTCTCTCCTAGCACATTTGCTGTTAATAACGTATATAGAAAAAAAGGCATGAACATCAAGATGTAAACATCAGTATTTATTTGCTGTGGGCACTCATTTCTTTTTTGTTGTTCTTTTTTATTATTTAAATGACCTACTGCTAGAATTCAGTTGTGAGGATGAACAAAAAAAGGAGAATGAGAATAGGAGTCTGTACCCCTAGAACCAGAAAGGCCCACTAAATTTATGACCACATTCGCCCCACTTTTAGGAAAGGATAGCTAAAAATTATAGAACATGGCTGCTGAGTTGACAGTAAAAGCTGAACACCAGAACATTTTGTTAACAGCGAAAACTGCCAAAAATGGTAACACAATCCTCTGCTAGATGAAATAATGAAATTATCAAATCATGGATTCCAGCATTTAACATCTTCAATCTCAAATCAGAAAAATAAAATAAAAAAAAAAATATTATATATTAATAAATGAATAAATGTGCCCAAAACAACTCAATTCATTAAAAAAATAAAATATATAAATAAATTGTATATAAAAAGAAGTCCAAAATCCTTTTTCCCAGCCTTCAAAGTGCTTAGACAAAAGAAATGATCTTCTGTAAATGTGTGCTTCCACCTTCCACCAGTGGAAACCAACATAAACCGCACTCACCAGATACTGGTGAATAATAGGCCTTTTAGGATTTTCAGGGATCTTTTTGTTTTTTTCTTGATTTGGTGTTTACACTAGTGCACAGCAGCATTGTATACCTGTGGCTGTAGACATTCTGTGGCGCAGGAGTGAATTTTTGTAACATCTTCAATTTACCAATCAATTAACTAAATGTTGGAGGAGTTCTTTAAGCATGCAGAGATGATTGCCAGCAAATTGGGTCTAAAATCTAAAAGGTCTTCACTTTTGCATTGCGATATGGGCATATTTAAATGTTCTTTTCATTTACAAAATTAGAAATGGCAGCAATTAGTTAGATACATTAATCTCTGATACAATAGCTACACCCCAATCTTACAATCTACACCCAAATTAAAGTAACCATATTTCAAAGCATATTTACATTGGCTGACCTCACCTTCCCAAGGAAGAGTACAAAATCGCCCACTGTATTGATGGTAGCAACTCTTAGAGCATTTTCCACAAGGATAACAAGTGCATCTTTCGCAGAAGTGCAGAAGTTTGTGCTGTTGATGGCAGTCGCTGTGTACGCATTCTAGAGAAAGTAATCAGAGCTTTGAATAAGAAGATTGCATCTTCTATAAATGATAACACAATGGTTTACTAAAGGCAAAAGGGGAATATGGCCTAGAGTTTAAAGAAAATGTAAATCCAACATTTCATTTTCCTGATATGTGCCTGCTGTACCATGTACTTGTATGAAAGCATATCCAGTTCTCTTTGTATTGCTTCCTTTGTGTGAAATCCCTAGTGATCCTGCCAGTTGCTCTGCTTTCCTATTAAAAACTGACCTCACTAAGCAGGAGATCACACTGTGGTCAGTTCTCTAGCTGTGCTGGGAACCTGCTCTCCTCAAATGATCAGAGTTCTGCTGACGGGCCCCTTTACCCCTGCACTTCCTTTCACTAGAAAGATTAGTGTTCTGCTGTTTCTCCTCTCCAGCTCTTATGCAGCTGAGAACAGTGGGAATGTGATCACTTATTTAAAAAGAGGGGGACAAAAAGGTAAATATAAAGTTTTTATATCTATACACAAATGTTTTACCTTTCATTTCTATTTTAAACTGAATGGGTTGTTTTACAAAATGAGGGTTTATAATCACTCTACTGAAGATGGTAAAGTTTCACTTTGCAAAGAATACTCAATTACATGCAAGGAAAAAAAAACACAAAAACAGCATTGTTGCCTGCATGTGATTGGATGATGGAAGTAAGCAGAGCTTCAGCTCATTCACTAAGCTGTGGGAAACATTATCTTGCAAAGTGCAACTTCCCTTGCAAAATAAAAACAGCCTACTTGCTTTTTAGTAATCAACCACAGCGACTTCTATGGATCAACTTAAAAATATTGCTATAAAAGGGCCAATGGCTCAGGTCAGAACAAAGGGTTTCAAGAGCTTAGCAGATAGGAATAATTAATAATTGTGAACATAGACTGAAGAATTTAACACCTTCCTGCCCAGCCTATAGCGGAATGAGGGCCGGACAGGACACTCCTCGTTGTGACTGGGCATCATATGACGTCCTGTCAAAACGAGTCTCTCACACGGCCACAGAGCGGTGCGATCTGTCACAGGCTGTGTTCATGGTACACAGCCGATGACATATCACTACAACAGCCCGTTGCCAGTGTCATGTGACCCGCTGTGGCCAATCACAGAAGATCACATGTCAGTTGTATACAATAGATGGCTTCCTCTCATGCCATTCATTGTATACAATTTTGTTGTTCGCGGTGACTGGTCGAAGCAGTCATATGGTACAGACAGGGCCAATCACAGCCCATCTGTATCATGTGATCAGCTTTGCCCAATCACAGCTAATCAACAAAAGACTGAATGAATCAGTTTCATTCAGTAACAATGATTGCAAATATCAATGAAATACATTGGTATTAGCAATCATAACGTGTTAAAAAAATTAAAAAAAATCCTGATCACTTGCCCATAGAAGTTCAATGTTACTATGGTAACATTGTATTGCTTTGGTCACAGTGTGTTAAAAAAAAAAAGTGTAAAAAAATATGAAAAAAATAATGTAATTAAAAAGAAAAAAAATTATTTAAAAATGATTTTTTTTCCATACTGTCACCAGTCAGTGTCTCTGATCACCACCACAACAGTTATATAATAACGCTGTACTGCACTGGTGACAATATGTTAAAAAAAAAAATTGTGATTTTTTTTTTTTAATTTCTACATTTTTCAATAATTGTAACAAAAAAATACAACCTCCAAAAAATTCACCATACCTCTTACTAAATACCTTGAACAGTCTATTTTCCAAAAATGGGTGATTTGGGGGGTATTTCTACTATCCTGGCGTTTTCGGACCTCAAGAAATGAGATGGGTCGTCAGTACATCAGGATTGTCAGATACATATACCTTGGTTTGTGGCCTCTATAACTTTTCTACAGACTAAGTAATATACACTAATTTGGGGTATTTTCACCAAAGAAATGTAGCAGAATATATTTTGACCTAAATTTATGAAGAAATGTTATTTATTTGCAAAATTTTATAACAAAAGAAAAATTCGTTTTTTTCAAAAGTTTGAGTTTTTTTGTTTTATTTAGCAAAAAATAAAATATTTCATATGGGTACAGTGTTGTCAAAGTGAGACAGCGCTGAAAGCTGAAAATTGGCCTGGGCAGGAAGGGAGTAAAAGTGCCCCAGTATTTAAGTGGTTAAAATCTGACTTCCAGTTAGGAACCCCATGAAGGACTGTGCAGTCAGCCTCTCCCTAGCCTGACATGACTGTAAAGTTTAAACAAAGTATGGTAAACTAAGCTCTGCTATACAAAAAACATCAACACAATATCATATATCAATTTATCGGTCACCATACAGACTCGTGTATACTCTAGTAAGGGGATCTCACTAATGACTAGACACATTGGCTTGTCCAATCCATGGGGACATTCATGGACCAGTGCAAGAGCAGCAAGGGAAAGGAAAAAGCATCAAGCCTCAAAATGTAAATGTCTCCTTCTGCCCACCACTGAATTTTTGTGGTTAAACTGGTAGAAAAGGTAGACATAAGGGGCTTCAAGAGAAGATGAGATGTCTGGTGGCTTTTTGCAGTTCATGAGAATATTATGGTCTGTGTGGTTGAAAAGTAGCTCTGCATATAAAGCAGATCAAGAGCTGTCTCCCATAACACAAGGGGCAGAAAACAAAAAGGTTCCATCATTTAAAAGCATGCCCATGGCAACATAAAGATAAGCCACCAGTCTAATCTAACATATTAAGTTTATACATGAAATGTACATTGCTCACCTGATTTAAATATGTGAGGCACTTTTCCAGACACCAAAGGCAGCAGATACAGGATTTCAGCATACACCTTGCACAGGCATTCTCCTACAAGATAGATGTTAAAACATTTCAGAAACAAACAGTCACGGAGCAATATGTAAAGAAGTCAAAAGCTTACAATCACAACAAACTAAATCCAATGGTTTAAAAGACTGTAAATGCACAAGCAGCTTTAGAGCAGCTTTTACAAAGTTCCAATATAGGTGTGTGGTGGTGGGTGGGAGGTGGGAAATACGGTGAACCCTGCTGTACTTCATACAGGGAAGGAAATACGTATTTGATCCCGTGCTGATTTTGAATGTTTGCCCACTCACAAAGAATTGATCAGTCTAAAAATCGAATGGTAGGTGTATTGTAACACTGAGAGACAGAATAGCAACAAAAAAATTCAAAAGAAATGCAAGTCTAACAAATTATGCACTGATTTGCACGTTCATGAGGGAAATAAGTATTTGATCCCCTTCACAAAACATGACTTTGTGATTGCCAACAAAGGATTTGCCACCAAGTACTGAGGTCAGTCGTTTCCTGTAGTTGGCCACCAAGTTTGCACACATCTCAGGAGGGATTTTGGCCCACTCCTCTTGGCAGATTCTCTCCAAGTCACTAAGGTGTGCTGGCTGACGTTTGCAACTCGAACTTTCAGCTCCCTCCTTCTTACACGCACATGTTACAACCTGTTGACAGTGCTGGGAAAGAGATTAACAGTGTCTCCTGCAAGAAGCCATGCTGTCATCCAACATCAAAGTGTCCTGCAGCATGCAGAAAACTGGTGACATGCTTCAGCTTAGCATTGTATGAAGCACTGCTGTTCCTAAGAGATAGATAATAATCACGTGACTGCTGTAAAATGGATTAAAACCTACAGTAATTCCAGATTTCCTATGGGGGAATTGCATGCATTGACTCAATGCTTAAAGCTGCATTAAACCCTCAAAGTGGAGCAGGTTAGGGTGCACATACTGCTCTATAGAGAGCCAGCTAGTAATAAGAGCCACAACAGAAACAGCAGTAAGGGGTGCAAAAACAAAAAAGGATCAAGTACTGTAAAGCAGAGACAGTCTGCAAAATAAATGTAAGTGTGGCTATGTGATAATTTAATCATTTGGGGTTAATAACACTTAAACTAAACAGCTGGAGAGGAGGGCAAGCTTTACAAGTTCTTGTCAATTCTGTCACCCAGCAGAACAGGCTTCATAAGAAAAATAAGTAAGATCGAGGACCATTTTGCCCTTTAAATTTCGTTAATCCCTGACTGATAAAAAAGTTCAAAAGTGGCAAAGAAAGCGTGGCACTTGACAGGCATGATAATATAATTACAACATTTTAATAAGAATCCAATGGAAAATCATTCATCATAGTTAATTTAGGATCAAGCAATTTGCATTCCCATTTATGAAAGACCGATAAGCCTGAAGATAATGTAAAAACACTTTTATAGCCAATTAACTTCATCTTGCTGGATAGTAAATTGGAAGGAAAATATAATGACCTGCCTTGTGTCTGAGAAATAAAAAGGTGATCATATACACTGATTATACCTATTCGAACTCAGGCATTTTGTATTTCTGCTTCAAACATGGCAAGATGGCACATCAGTTTCCACAAACTGAATAACGAATAAGAAAGTGGCTAATTTTTTCAACGTGATGGAATTTACTCCTGGAGGCCAAAATCCTGTTATGGCGCCAGTTTCTTCTTTCAAAAGCACTACACGAAAACAGATCTGATTAATCTAATTCGTATTGCTTTATATATTAATTACTCAGGGTGTTTGAGTGTCAGCTCAGATGTACATGCACCGCTGATCTTTCTGAAAAATGACCAACTACAGCGGCACTCAGTGTTTCTAATGAAAGATTTGTTAAATAAAAACAAACACATGGCCGAGATGCGGTTTTACTACCCCCTCAGTCGCCCACCAGAATTTAACATTACAGCCTGACAGGCTGCACACATCCCACATATCACAGCAATTTTAACTTGGGCTACAGAGTTTAAGAGGCGATGCCTTAAAAGGAGGGGGGGGGGGGCGCAGGAAAAAAAAAGCAGGCGTCAAGAGGTGGCAGTAGTACTAGCAGCTTCTATTAAACCACCCTGAAAAACATTCCACTATGGATCACTTTAAAGAGGGCAGTAAGCAACACTGCCAGTGTGAAAGAGCTCCAACACCATATGCTTTAATCTTTTAAGTTCTCTCCTTTAAAAAAAAAAAACCCTCTTTATCGTACTTAACAGGACACAGAGCAGGCTTTAATCATTACTATTTGGGTTATGTACCACTTATAGGTGAATAGACACTGGAAGACCAAACAAGAAGTCCCCCTCTATATAACCCCTCCCATACAGGAAGTACCTCAGTTTTGTAGCTAGCAATGAAATCCCAGAAAGAGTTCAGTGTCTGAAGGTGATGGTCACGGATGTTTATCTCTCTGTGTGAACACTGCTGGTACCAAAATGGTTCTAATTAGGAATCAAGGGGCTGAATGATCGGATCCATTTGGATGGCTGAGCCCTAAAATGAATGGTACCCAAGCCTCGTATATGATAAAAGACTAATGAGGTTTTGCCTGTAATGCAAACTTTTTGGTGCTGGACCCTGTGTATGGAACCCTGTGCATTTATTGAACAAGGCATTTTTCCAGCTGGGTGCTATACAGGCCAAAAGGAGTAAACCCCAAGAGTTAAGGGGTACTAAGCCCTTGAAGGTCCTTAAGTGACAGGGCCCATCATGATGGGTGAAGATTGGGTCTCTGTACTGACAGAACCCTGAGGCAGGATTGGTAAGTGGGACCCCCTGGGTTTCTCAAAAAAGCCTGCTCTGTGTACTCTATGGCCAGCATGTCTTACATGGTTCTGTGCTTGTTGATGTCATCTGTCAGAATGGACAATCAGATTAATCCTTTAGGTGGTCTTCCTTGAACAGTAGGCTTTCAGGCCCCTCACCGGAGCACAGGGCACGCAAGGGAGTGAGCACGCAGCCCTCTGGTGAATGCGCACAGCTGGTGTGCATGTGGCGCATTGTGCAACCACAGTAGTGGAAAACGCGGGAGGCCATGTTACTTAGGGAAACTGTGCTCTCCATGTGGGTCTCTTGTTAGGCTGCAGCAGGGGACACAGCGCAGGCTATCCTTCTGGGCATGTGAATCCTTGGGTGTATGTGTGGTTACAGACAGCCAATATGTGCCGGGACCTGATTAAAGTGTAGCAGCTTGCTGTTTAGGCTGTGATAGCTGCTGATTCCTTAATTACAGCTTGCATAGTGGGGTGCTGAGTGTTTTTTGAATACAAGCCCCAGTTGCATTTAGTACACTTTGAGTAGCAATGTCTTCCAGAAAGCAGAGTGGGGGAGGCACAGTAGGAAGGGGCACATGTGCATCGCTGTCAGGTTCTGAGGGTCTAAGTCATGGTTCCACTGTGATAACTGAAAGACCAGAGACGACTGGTTAATCTGAGCCGCTGTGCTTGCCTGGCATTGTGACTGCTTCAGCTTATGTTACAAAAGATGATTTAGCATCAGTATTTGCTGGCTTAGAGGATAAGATAGCTGGGAAGATCGCCTCCATTACACAGGTAGGAAAGAGGTGTGAAAGGTCCCCTTCCCCTGATCATCCTGTTTTAGGAGTATCCTCCTTTTTAGGAAAAGGAATGAGTAGAATATGTGGAGGAAGTGGCTATTGAGGAGTTGGAAGAGGGTCAGGCAGAAGATTCTGCTTCAGGGCAGTCCGTGCCTGAGGAGGTCCTGGCATGTTCCTCGAACCCCTCGTGTATTGTTTTGTTACTGTATTGTCTCATGTACTGTCCCCCACTATAATATACAGCGCTGAGCAAACCTTTTGGCGCTATATAATGTATAATAATAATGTTCGACTTCTCAGTCCGAAAGATTGTTGGTTCAATCACTAACAGAGATGGTCCGTGCAGGATTCAAATTACCTCCATTTGGAGGTTTCTGAGGCCTCCTACTCTTCTCTGGGTTCACTGCGGCATTTGCAGAAAACTCAAACCTTTCCATTGCACCCGCTCTCAGGTGGTTTATGCTGACTGGAATCATCCGGATACAGTATTTGTCCCTCCCAAGAAGCTTTCAATCTTGTATCCCCTGGAAGAGAAGTTCGTTAAAAAGTGGAACATGCCGGCTGTTGACGTTGCTGTATGCTCCCTGAATAGGAATTTAAAGTATCCAGTAGACAATGCCCAGGTGTTTAAAAACCCAGCTGATAAGAATTTGGAATAATCACTAAAAGCTTCTTTTGGTTTGCTGGGTCTGCAGCGCAGCCTGCTGTAGTGGCAATTGGCATCTGTCAGTCCCAGCAGGACCGTATTAATCAGCTGACTAGGAATCTCCCTGAACAAGAAGAGGATGCTGCTAAGGATATGGTGGATTTGCCCCATGCCTTATGCTTTGCAGTGGATTCCCTGAAATATTCTATTCAGCAGGTTTTGTGATTGGCTCTCCTGTCCATGCACATGAGTCTTGTGGTTAAAAAGTTGGTCAGCTGAATTGCTTTGCAAGAAATTGCTGGCTGGATTCCCTTCTCAAGGCTAGCACCTGTTTGGCAAAGATTTGGATAAGTATATCCAGAAAATCTTGGGAAGGGGGGGTGGTTTCAGTTAAGTACTCGCCTTCCGGTTAAAGGGAGAAATAAGCGTCCATCTTGCAAAGGATCAGGTACCACTGCTGCTAGTTCCGAATCTTCTAGACAGTTTCGACAGCCTCAGGCATCTGGGTCTAAAGGCAAGCCTCATGGCTAAGGGCATAACAAGCCCTGGGGGTCAGAAACTCTCCATGAAGGGGCACTCCCACTAGTGTGGGTGGGGGGGAGGCTTCTGCATTTTTCATTAGTTTTTGCATTAGTTCCAGTAGAGTGGTCTCTGCACCCTGAGGTTTTCTTGTCAATTTGCTGGCATTGGGGTACTTTGCACATAGATCTATTGGTGTCCAGGTTCAACAACAAGATGGAGAGGTTTGTGTGCAGAACAAGGGACCCACGGGGTAGATGCTATGTTGACTCCTTGGGACCAGTTCTCCCTGATCTATGCTTTCCCTCTGGCTCAGCTTCTGCCTAGTCTCTTGCACAGGATCCAAGAGATGGTAACTCCAATGATAGTGGTAGCCCTTGCTTGGTCCAAGAGGTCTTGGTATGCAGACATAGTAAAGTTAGCTGTGTACGTTGCATAGACACTTCCGATCTGGCCAGACCTACGCTCACAGGGTCCAATATTTCACCCTGCTTTTCGGTCACTAAAGTTGATAGATTGGCTATTGAAGCCTGAATCTTGAAAGATCAGGGGGTCTCAGACCCAGCTATTTCTACTCTGTTGAACCAGTTGTCCTTGATCTATGCTTTCCCTCCAGTTCAGCTTCTGCCTCCTATCTTACGCAGGATCTGAGAGGAGGCAACTGCAGTGATACTGATAGCGCCCGCTTGGCCCAGGTCTTGGTATGTGGACATAGTAAAATTGGCTGTGGATGGTCCAGGCACTTCCAATGTGGCTGGACCTATTCTCTAGTTATTTCTACTCAGCTGAACGTGAGGAAGCTGGTTTCTAGAAATATCTAATATAGAGTTTGGAAGGCTTACATTACCTGGAGTGAGGCCATGGGATGGCATCATCGGAAATATGTCATTGGAGAAATGAGAGAATTTTCCCAGTCTGGTGTGAACATGCAATTGTCCTTGGGCACCATTAAGGGTCAGATTTTGGCTAAGGCCATATTTCTCAGAGGCCTGTTTCTTCGCACTCTGCCTTTTTACCAGGGAGGATTCGTATGGTTCCTCCTATCAAACCACCCTTGTGCCCTTGGGACCTAAATTTAGTCTTGGTTGTCTTGCAAAAGCAGCCTTTTTCTGTCACTAAGTTTTTCTTTTTTTTTTTGTCACAGTCACTTCAGCAAGAAAAGTGTCGGCGCTGGCAGCTCTTTCTTGCACTGAGCCATTTTTGATTGTACACCATCAGATTGCGTTCTCATCCATCCTTTTTTTTCCTAAGGTGGATTCTAGCTTTCATTTGAATCAGGACATTGTCCTAACCTCCGAATCCTCATTCTGCACTAGAACGATTGCTGCATTATTTGCATGAAGTACAAGCCGTCAGGATCTATCTGCGAATGTTAGCACAGATCAGAATCTTTGTTTTTTATTGATGTTGCCAAAGGGCCCAAGACAGTGCAAGCAGCACCTAAAACAATTATTTGTAATTGGGCCCACCAGTTAATCATTCAAGCTTATGGTTTGAAGGGTAAAGCTCCACCTTTTCGGGTTGGGGAGCACTCTACCAGAGGTGTGGGAGCCTCTTGGGGCGATTCGTCATCAGGCGTTGGCGTCTCAGATTTTGCAAAGCCACCACTTGGTCTTCAGTATATATATTCACAAGATTCTACCAGGTGGATGTTAGGGCTGCAGAGGATACAGCCTTTGGCCACAGTGTGTTACTGGCGGCAAAATAGGTGCTTGGCTGTTGACAGTTTCTGCGGGTGTGTCTCCCTCCCCTCATGTACCGTATTTTCCGGCGTATAAGACGACTGGGCGTATAAGACGACCCCCTACTTTTCCTGTTAAAATATAGGGTTTGGGCTATACTCGCCGTATAAGACTACCCCTCTTCCAACGTACACCAAATAAAAAACATCAGATTTGATTTCAATATGGTATGGTATTTCAGTATGGTATTCCAATGATGGGGTGCTATTCCTCCCACTGACACCAATGATGGAGCACGATTCCTTGCTCTGACACCAATGATGGGGCACGATTCCTCGCTCTGACACCAATGATGGGGCACGATTCCTCGCTCCCAATGATGGGGCACTATTCCTCCCACTGACACCAATGATGGTGCTCCATCATTAGTGTCAGTGTGTGAGGAATAGTGTCCCATCATTGGTGTCAGTGGGAGGAATAGTGGCCCATCATTGGGGTCAGTGGGAGGAAGAGTGGCCCATCATTGGTGTCAGTGGGAGGAATAGCACCCCATCATTGGAAGGGGATACCAAAAATGCCAAGACATAATACTGCATGGCCCTTGAAATGGTGAAAAACTACAGTACCTAACATTTTTCATAGGCGATGCTCTGAAAGCTTTTACAAGTTATCAATTTAGAGTTAACCATGAAGTATGGCCCGAGAATTATTGCTCTCACTTCCTCTCAAGTTTGCAGCGGTATATCATATGTCTGGTGTAAACACTGGTTACTGTTTTTTTTTTTAACGCTTTGAAAAGGTTTTTTGCTATCACAAGAAGGACAACAAGCCTCCTACAGCACCACTATTGCATGGCGATATCAAGAGAGAAAAAAAAAAAAAAATGACACAGTCAATGCTTTCATTGCAGTAAGATGTTAGATCTGTATCTCACCTTGCCCTTGAGCTGGCTATGAATGTACATGAGGATCATTCTGGGTATTTTGACCAGGGTAATAATGAAGGCTCCTTTTGCCACTGTCCCCAGATGGTACAGTATTAGCCGATTTACAGAAGCTAAAATAGGTGTAAATGGGAGGTCTCGCTTGTTTCTGTAAACACAAAGTTCAGATTATAATCTTAACAGTAAACTCATACTTCACAAATAACATCCATTTCCAGTACACTATAGCAAAGCTGAGGGCCCTTGTGTATAAATTGTGTAAGGCCCAACCTGTAGCTTTCTATAGCTTTAGTGACTCAACACCCCTGTGATGAAGTATGTCCCACACTGTGCAGCCAGTTGGATCCTGTATGAATGTCCTCATCCTGCTGCTGAACCTCTGTCTGTGTCAGGGTTAAAACCTGAGTAGTCTGTAAAGTTGCTGTGACCCACCCCCTTCTCCACCACTGGAAAAAGTTCTCTCTTAGGCAGGCTATAGACAATGCAATTTTCTTTCCTGTAACCATACTGCATACTAATTTTATGATTTTTTTTTTAGAAATGCTAATTTCCTGCACGCTGAACTTACTTCCCCTTTTGCCCCCAGCAAAACATAAGGATTCCCTGCCCAGAGATACAAGTGGGGTGTGCTTTTATGTGTGTTATGTTATGCGTTCTGTGCCTTTATCTGGAGTGATACTAGACAAAGGGTTGCCAAACCTACTTTACCTCAAATCAAGCAACAAGGAGGTCTTGGTGTTCCATGCATAGCTTTGCTATTTCCAAACTGCATGGATTTCTTAATGGACTCTCCTCAATGACCAGGTTAATATCCTATTTTGTATAAGTTTAGAAGCTTATGTGATAGCTGCTCTTTCTACTCAAACTACAAAAATGAATGCAAGTCAAAACTCCTATTTTTGTCAGGTTTTTACTTCGGCCTGTGAATCCTATTGGGGAGATTTCCTAATCTCAGTTAAGCTTATACAATATATTGGGGGGGGGGATAGGGTATACGTTGAACAATAAGGCATAGGTGGCAAAAACATTCTCAAAAGTTCTAACTGTTCTCCACACTAATAAAAATATTGAATAAAAAAATATTTTTAGTAGAGTTTTACAAAATATAGAAAGTACAGTTTACACGCAGCGCACAAGGAAAAATTAGCATGTTATTGTTTTCAAAGAAACTGAACAAGTAAAATAAATTCTATAATGAGTAGGTAGAAATATTTGGACCTATAGAGGTCCATTGTTTGGGAGCTAGATAGAAGAGTTCGGTCAAGGTCCACCAGCATATAGTGTGAAATCCGGTGCTCCCACATTTTTAGGAATTTGGACATCATATCATCTAATTTTGGCTGCTATTCTCTCAAAAGTCATACAAACCTGGCAAAAATATAAATTTTGACTTACCTGTACATTGCTAATTTTGTATGAAAATACAGGACTCAGGACTGACCATTGGTTATATGCAGGCTACCTTTGGGTGATTGTACACTGATGAAAAAACTTGCTAAGGCTGCCGTTAGAGCATAACCCTGGCTACTCAGTAAGACTCCAGTTTTTCAGCAATCAATAAGGAATGACCAAGACACAGGAGAGGGGCCTATGTCCTGTACTGTACCAAGATAGAAAATGCACAGGTAAATTAAATTTTCCTAATATCTGAATTGTACAGTACTTGTATTTATAAACCAGGAGGAGATGTATCCAAGCAATAAACTGAAAGATGGGCAACAACCTAGCAAACAAAGCAGGCACCAGGCCCATAAGAAAAGCAAAAAAGTTTAATAAAGAAAAAAAAAAACAAAAACACACTCAGATGACAGCTTGAAGCACCAAAATTCACCTGATAGAACGAGTAAACAGTGGACCAGGTAGCAACCTTGCAAATCTGGAAAGCTTGATGGAGAAAAGCCCAAGAAACACAACAGTTCTGTTGGAATGGGCTCTGACACGAAAAGGAGGAACTCTGTTCCTAACAGCAAAGGTCCTGGAGAGAAGTTGATCCATCAGGCAATGGTGTAGCAGGAAGCCCTTAATAAGGGCCCACAGGCAGAGCAAAGAGACTCAGTCTTGGGAACAGAGGCTGTGGCTGCCAGGTAGACCATGACAGCCCTGACCACATCCAGACAATGTAGGGCAATTTTCTTGTCATGATTTGAGGCAGGATAAAATAAAGGAAGAGCAATCTCCTTAGATGTGGAAAGAGGAGACCACCTCAGGCAAGAAGGAAGATTTTGGTCATAAAACCATCTTGTCCTTGTGCAAAATGGCTCTTTACAAGAAAGGAGCTGCAAACTCAAACATGTAACAGCCACCGGGAAAGCAACCTTACAGGTGAGGTCTGCCAAGAGAATGTCTCTATTCTTCAAAGAACCCAGTTTGAAGTGATTAAAGTACCAGGCAAGGTTTCTAAATTAACACAGGAAGTAAAACTGGGAGATTTATAGGGGCCCCTCCCTGAAGAAAAAAGTCTTGATTAGGGATTGTAAGGCAAGAGGTTTACATATTTAAGAAATGTCAAACCAGAGTAGAGGAAAATGGCTGGGAGCCAGTGTCGGGAGCAGAATCCTCTTTTTTTCGAAGCGGTGGCGGGCATTGTGATTGACGTTTGATCTACTTCAGGGGACATTCTTTTATTCTCCTTCTTTTAATAAAGGACTTGTCAAAGAATGTGTAGTGGTACCATGTATCCCATACTTATTCACGTGGGGGGGGGGCGCCGGGATCTGGGTGCCCCCACTTTTTAAATTATTTTTGAATTGTCGGCAATTCTTTCTTTTACATTCAGCTGTCAGTGGGAATCCGCATGGTTTTCACTACTAAAATACTGCATGACTTGATAAAATAACTCATGCGGAATTTTAGTAGTATTTTTTTTTATTAAACTTACTATTTTTCAGTGCATTTTGGGCATTTGGGAGGGTCTCCTGAGGTTATCTTTTAAAAATGCTTCAATTGTGTCTAAACATGATAGTTAAACTCGGCTAAACTGACGTTTTTAACCTACATTTTCTAGCAGTTAGTGTACAGCAGTCAGAAGAGTTTGTCAAACGCTCTGTGTACATGAGCCTAAGGGATGTTGACTGGATTTAAAGCACTGATGTGATGGGCAAGATGGAATGTGTAGATAGGCATCTTGTATGTTTACTGATGCCAGAAATTCCCCTTGTATGAGAGAAGCAATGAGATCTCGTTGATTCCATCTGGAATTTTGGTACCAGATGAAACTTCTTTGGAGATTCTAAATCCAGAATAGGGCACATGCCCACATTTGGTTTTCAGACTATGAAAATGTTTATGAATATGTTTAAATAGAAACCCTATGGGTGCAAGGTGGTCATTATATGCTGCTTTCTTTTGGTCTGTAGCCGGCATATAGTAAAGCAAAAAGAGGGGATGGAGCGGAAAGAAACTCTATTTTGTACCCCTTTGAAACAACAGAAAGGGATTCAGAAATTCAAGATGTCTTTGATCCAGACTGGTGGAAACATCAACAGATGTTCTCTAACTCTGAAGAGTGAAGACACCCTTTTTTTTTTTCTGGCCATAGCTTGTGACGAAAGCAGGTGTTAGGCCCTGGTTTGGAAATTGATGGGTGATGAGAGCAAAAAAGGTAGAAGGCAATAGATGTAGGAGTAGAAGTACAGGCTTTTTCCTCTAGGGCAGAATTCCTTTTCTCCAGTGACTTCCTTGATGAATTCATCAAGGGAATTCCCAAATTAGTTTTTGCCGCCAAAAGACTTGCATAGAAGATGCTTTTTGCGACCAAGTTCAGCAGAGATAGCTTTAACCACAAATATGCACATAAGCAAACAGAGAAATACTTGAGAGACTTGGGGAATTACATTCTCTAGAGCAGGGTTTCTCAATTGGGGTTCCACAGAAACCTCTGTACTGTACTATGTACTGTGGCCTGCAGCTCCCCTGTGCTCTGCCCTGGTGACCCCCATACTTTGTCGTGCTAACCCTCTGTGCTCTGCCTTGCTGACCCAATGTGCACTGTTTATCTCAAATTCGACCCAGAATTGAGCACGTGTAGAAAAAAAAAGAAAACACAAATTTTACTTTTTAATTTTAATATCTATTATTTAATGCAATCACTAAAAATATTTGTTCTATCAACAGCTTGCCGTTCACACCAATGCTCTGTGAGATGTACATGTGAACATTATTTCAGGGGCACCCCGAGATCTTAAACATTTTGCCAAAGGTTCCTTCAAGGTAAAGAGAAAACCCTGATCTAGAGCATCAATACAAGACAATAATGCTAAGAGTATCAGCTGTAATTGTTCTAAGAGAGCAGGGCAGTCAATAATCGATTCCTGGTCTCTGTTCATCTGTCTTGTCCAGTTAGCAATAGTCTGGCAAATAGAAATGGCAGCAATAGATGGCTGGAGGTCAGGACATGCAAGGGCAAAAAAAAAAGAAAAAGGCCTTTAAGAGGGAATCCAGACACCTATCAACAGAATCCTTAAATGAGGGAACATCTTCAATAGGAACTTTAACCACTCGCCCTCCTGAGGATTTACCCCCCCCCTTAATAACCAGGCCTCTTTTTACTACTCGGTGCTGCACTAATTCAACTGATAATTGCGCGCGGTCATGCAATGCTGCTTCCAAACGAAATTTACGTCCTTTTTTTCACACAAATAGAGCTTTCTTTCGGTGGCATTTTGCAGAAAAACAATATTTTTTACTTTCAGCTATAAAAAATATATAGTAAACTCAAAGTTAGTTATAAATTTAGGCCAAAATGTATTCTGCTACATGTTTTTGGTAAAAAAAATCCCAATAAGTGTATATTGATTGCTTTGTGTGAAAGTTATAGCGTCTACAAACTATGGTGTAGATACTGCAATTTACGCCATTTTTTTGCTATACAGCGCTGCGCTAGTTTAATGGACAATTGCGTGGTTATGCAATATGCTACATAAATTAAATTTACATCCTTTTTTTTCCCCACAAATTGAGCTTTCTTTCGGTGGTAATTGATCACCTGTGCGTTTTTTATTTTTTGCGCTATAAAAAAAAGGCTGACAATTTTGAGGAAAAAAAAATATTTTGGACTTTTTGCTATAAAACATGTCCAGTAAAAAAAAAATTTAAAAATCAAATTTAGTCATAATTTCTGCCAAAATGCATTCTGCGACATGTCTTTGC